GTTATATAGTACTCTAGTGCTATGCGGAGTTCATTCATAGTTCTACTCCAGTCTAGTCATTCATTAATACGGCGGGAGTGTCCTTACGGAGTGTGCGCTGATCGTAGCTCTTGATCACTTGAGTGACCCGCTTAGAGCTCGCCCGCGTGTGAATGTCGCACATGTGAGTTCGTCCCATAGCACGTGAGATCGAGAAGTACAAAGTAGTCAACAAGGTGAATTAACATCAAACAAGCAGAATGCGGATAGGTAAGAATGACTCATGATCAGACTCGGTTTCAGACGAACGTTCTAAGAAACAGCGGCCGTCTCGTCGGAATAAGCATTTAACGATAAAAAGTGGGAACGAGAATTATATTTTTATAATCACATTGAATGTGTTAAATAACAACATTCTTTTAATTCATCACTTTGATAGAGATTCTTTACTGAAAATTTTTTAACATTTATATTTGTACCAAAAAGTCCTTTTTGAAACAATAACAAATATTATCTTTAAAAATAATTTTAAAAAAGTCTTTAATAAAGTACTTTAATCCAACAATATTTACATGATGTTTATACATTTGAAAAATCGTTTTATATGAATAACTCATTACTTAAACTAACTCATAATAATTCTAATTGTATCGATTATATCAAATCGTCTATATCGATATTAAAAATTATTAACAAGAAATGTTACAATCGATTAAGTAAAAGCTATCTCGTAATTCTTATTTCAATCACGATACATTGTACTTCTCTTCTTTGCAATAAGTTAAGAAGCATAGTTCGCATCTTTTTCTTCATTAATAGCGGCACTTCAGAGATAGCATTTCTAAAAAGAGTCTCCGTTTTTAATGGAACCGATGAATTTCACGGCTCATCTCGTATCAGACTGGCGCAAATACACCTGCGGCAAATCGCTCACGCCATGGTACTTCGAAGAACGTTCGAAGCACGATAGTGTTATCCAGCAGGAACCGCGATCTTTCGCCGTTCCTTTGTTCCCGTGCTGTCAAAAGAAACGGCGCTGCATCTGGCGCTTTTTCTGCGACAAGCCGCGGGAATGTTATGGTCGAGAAATCAGCCGATAGCACTACACGAATGATTTTGCAACAAGATGGGGACCACTACCGTAGTGCACTAATTTAATCATTTTTCTACCAAAGTCCATTGCTCTATAACGTTGCGCTAGGCACGATGTTTGCCGAACTTGTTGTATTTCACATAAGCCATAATTATTTGCATTATGTTTTAGAACAATTGTTCGACGTTAAAATAATAGATAAAACTGATTAAGCTTGAAATAAAGTTGATAACTTTGCAACAAACAGACTCGTCACGCATTACGTACTTATTATTGTGACGTAATATCATCTTCTTTCCTCCTATCTTGATAGCTGTTCGTTGACTATCATCTTTATCGCGATACAGTAGTTAATGCTAGTATGATCCAAAATTATTCTTCTGATGTGGCATTCATTATATTTACATGTAGCCAAACACGCACAAGCAAATTTGAATTAATTTACTGATTAAGTTTATCGTACGTATTATCAATGTGATCTATTGTAGACCGAATAAATGAAATCGAAATTGATATATCTGTTTGCAGGAAATAAAGATAACCAAAGACCCCCTATGTCTGATATTGTAATCATATTTGCATGATTAGCCTTGTCAAAATTTTTATAAAGTTACTTGGAAAAAGTGCTTTATTAAAGTATTTAACAATTTATCCAGATATAAGAATTGCAAGACCTAAGTTAGACTAGGAAAATAATATAAGAAAAATAATGTAACCTTAACTAGGTTGCTTAACTAGAATATCAAAAATTTTGCAGTATTATCATCATGGTTAAGCACTCCTA